TTGCAGGACCAACCATAGGATGGCCAACATATGCAGAACCAAGTCTACCAATAAGCTTTTTTCGTCTTTTAAAAGACAAATATGACCATAGAGTAAAATAATTACAAGAGTAGAATCATGGGCAGCCAAAAACCTCTCCATTAATGTGTTTTCAACCTTGTCTGTAGTTTGTTCTGTTAAAATGAGTAAAGAAAGTAACAGGACATATGGTTTATTTGTTAACTATGTACGGAAATAAGATACAGTCTAACTAGTTCGCAGAAGGGGAAGATTATTTCTTCAGCAATTTTTCAGATGGCAACTTTAAAAAGGGTAACTAACATGTTAAGATAAAAGGCACATGGATTGCTTCAAATCTATGACTTCAGGAAAAAACTGGCTGATTCTCAGCATCTTGGAAGCCTTGGAAAAAATCCCAAGTTCAGCCTCAAGTTGCACAAATCACATTGAACTTTAGAACTCTTGCTTATTTATTCAGCAATGCACTTTAGCCACTTCACTGTATCTTTAACACTGTTTCAAGCAACAACGCAAGAACTCAACTCTAGTTGTTTCTCTGTTAATACTTGAAAAATTCTGGGTTAATACTTTACAGTGGCACTTTTGAAGGGGTTCTTTTTGACACATGCTGTCTAATTAGACATTGTACTGATACTGATAGAGAGAAAATATCAACTTGTAGGATTTTATTTTTAAAATATTGGCATCATACTCTGGTATGAAATAAGATCTAAAAATCTGCATGTATCACATTCATAAAAGCTGCCAAATCCCTTGTGTCAGACCATAAGCATTTCAGAAATATGAGAGAGAGAAGGATCTGGCTAGGTAATAATTATTGAACACGTTTATTTAGATTTTTAAAAAAGAAAATGAATTAACTGTGCAAGCTATTGTGTCACTGTGAAATGATATTCTAATCACAATTGTGAGCCTTATCTCAAATCCACAAATAGAACTGGAGGGAGCAGAAAGATGACTGGACTGCATTAGGAGACCTGCATTTGCTGCTAAGTTGTTTTGTGGCTTCGTATGAATCAATGAAGTCAGCTAACATGTTTCTTAGTTTTCCCATCTGTTAAAAGAAGTAGGGCTAGGCAATGTATAAGGGCCTTTTCACATCTAAAATTTGATAATTATAAAAACTCCAAATCTGTAAACTTTCTAGTCCTGCTGGATTATTTATATTTTATGATTTTAATCTTGGTCATGTTTCTCAGTATTGAGAAGCTCAGCTATCACTTAAGTTCTCTGAATCTTATATGACCTTTTTTCCTATTAAAAAAAGACAACCCTGAAATCTTTGCCCCACCACTATGCCAACTCTGCCACTAGACACTGACACCCCTGCCAAAAACAGGTGCCAAACCCAGTAATCAGGAGCTGATATGCAGGTGACAGGACTGTCAGCTCAGCTCCTGCCCCAGACCACATGGTAATGTTCTTAGGAGGTCTGTGCAAGCTGAGGTGGTGACTATGCTCCACATCTGACTGAAATCTCACAGTTCCCAAGTGGGGCACTTTCCCCTGTTGAGACAATGCAAACTTGTTATTTTGCCTCTGGGGAAATCTAGGCTGGAACAGCTGAAAGCTTGAACCTCACTAGCTGGAATGAAAATAGCAACATTATAGCAACCATACTAGGGTATTTGGGCTCTCTCAGATTTGAGAGCAGTAATTTGACTGTAGAAAGCTTCTGGGCGACAGCAGTGAAGTGGGGATGCCTCTTACCCACTTAAAGAGAGCTGCACGCTACCCAATGTCAAATCGAAGGCTGCCCTTTCTTCCCTTTCTCTCCACAAATGTCACAGAACTTAAATTAAGACTAAACTTGTTAGTCATTATTTTGATGGCAGAAAATATATGTGTGGGAAAATTTCTCATCATTACTGGGCTATGTCTGAAAGACATTTGAAATAATTCACTAAGTACTGGTGTGATAAGTTTCCAAAAAAGTATTTGAAATGAAGGGGTGTTCTGAAACAACAAGAAACAGCTACTGTGTACTGAGTTCTTCACATGAAGACACTGGGTATAAAGTACTAAATAAAAAGTAAGTGAAATAATCTGTGGTGGGAAATTTTTTAAAAATGTGAAACTTAATTTAGTGTAATGTTATGTTTTGAATCAGGGGTTGGTGAATGTTTTCTTTCAGGGCCAGATAGAAATAATTTTAGGCTTCGTGGGCCATATGGTCTCTGTTGCAACTACTCAATTCTGCTGTCACATCATGGAAGTAGCCACAGACAACACTAAACATATGTGGGTGGCTGTGTTCCAATAAAACTTTATTTGCAAAAACAGGTGGCTTGCCCCAAGGCCATAGTTTGCCTACCCCTATACTTATACACTTGCAAAGCACTGGGGCGCATCACTTTATTTAATTCTCATGACAAATCTATGTGGTGGGTAGTATCACCCGCATTTTACAGGTGAAGCCATCTGGGCTCAAGGGGTCATGTGACCTGCCCATGGTCACAGTCAAAGCTTGGAGCTGGGGTCTGAACTCAGCTCTGAATTCAGAACCTGAGCTACCCTACACAGTCCAATGTGCTCTTTAGATCACGGCTGCTTGTTTAAAGAGAGATGTAGCCTGAAAATGGTTGGTGTGGCTATTTTTCTTATTAAAGGTAGAGGAACGAGCCTCTAGTTGGGATGGCCAACTCAGAAATAGGACATCTTCTGACTTGGGAAGTAAACATGAGAATAGAGATGTGGTTGATGAAAAAATTGAAAGTGGTAATTAAGAAAATGCCTATTACAGTTAAGAACAAATATGTAGGAAAACAAAAACAAAATTCTCACCATGGAAACCAAAAACTGTACAGATAAAGAAACAAAATATGAAAGAGGCGGTGACTGCTGTTCTAAAAATATGGCATGCCATCAGCTTTGGAGTGATCGGGGGAAATGTACACAAATAATCAGAGGCAGAGGTTACCTGCCATGTATTCTTTCATTTTCTTGACATTCTCATCTCCCATTTTCTGTTCCTGTCACCTCAGTTGTCCATTCAAATGGACTGACTTAGATTTGAAAAAAACAGCTACTCCTGTCATTTCCTTTATTAATGCCTAAAGTTCAATTTCAAGCATTTCATACTCTACCAGCACTCCTATTTTGCACCTCACTTTCTTCAACATAACCACTTTAGAAGTTCCTTAACTCTACCAGGGTCTCCAGTTCTCAATGGGGTTACACTTCTTGTATTCACACTTCCTTACCCAGTGAGGAGTCTGTGGTTCATCACTACCTGTCACTCTAGGGCATACTTCATCCAGACCTTTGCTTATCTCTGTCACGCTCATCTGGTAGAACCCCAAATCTGATTAAACCCAACTCTGTCTGCTCTGTACCTGTATCCAGGTAGCTGAAGATGGCTGGAAGAAAAAAAGGTTGGTGTTGAGTAATCTCCCTGGAAATTTACCTTGACAAAGCTCTGGGACCACCCTTCTGTACTTCCCTAGTAAACTTACTTTCCTGGTCTTTCAGCTGATTATTATTTCCTTCCTGTCAAGGCTACCACAGGCCTCCATTTTCCTAAGTCTAATGGTTAGTTCCCAGTCCTCATCTAATTCAATCACTAACTAGCATTTGACACAGTTGGCCATTCCTCTTTGAAACGCTTTTGTCATTTGGCTTCTGGGACACCGCATGCTCTGGCTGTCTCTCTATCTCACTGCTATTCCTTTCAATCTCCTCTTCTAGACTCCAATGCTCCATGTTCCAAGAAAGATCTCTTCTCTTCTTTATCCAGACTCTAGGTTAGGGTTTCTCAGCCTTAGCACTATTGACATTTTGGGCCACATCATTCTTTGATGTGGGGGCTGTCCTGTGCGTTGCAGGATGTTTAGCAGCATCCCTGTCCTCTTCCCACTAGGTGCCAGTAGCAACTGCCTGTCCACCAAACTGTGGCAATCAAAATTGTGCCCAGACGTTGTCAAATGTCCCCCGAGGGAAAAAAAAAACCCTACTTGAAAACCACTGATATAGGTAAACTCAACTACTCCTGTGGCTTCAAATGCCATCTAGGAGCTAATGAACCCCAATATATACCCCCAGCCCAGACCATGTCCCAAGCTCCAGACCTGTGTATCAACTGTCTCCTCATTATCTTTATTTAGAAGTAGTATCTGTACTTGTTTATTTTTCTGCAATAGACTGTAATCTCCAAGCAGGTAGAGATTTGCATATCACTATTTACCCCCAGTGCCTAGAAGCCTGCAGGACATAGAGGAGGTGCTCAAAATATATCTGCTGCTTGAAGAATTAAACACTTAACAGATGCTCTTATCATGCTTCATCTCAATTTGAACTTGTAAATATATATGTGAATATATACACAGACCTATATTTCTTTGTTTCAAATTATAATTATGGCTTTTGACTATCATAATTCCAGTTAGCTGCCAATTCTTAACTGCGAGTCATCAAATGTTTATTGTCTTGGTCTAATTTATGCTGTATCTGAAGTGGAGATTAGAGGATGAAGTTTTTCAAGGAGGCTTAAATTCTGCTATCTTTTAAAAAATTGCCTCCTGGATAATAGCTATATTTATAGTATATTTAATATTATATAATATTTAATAACATTTATAATAGCTATATTTATGAACAAGTTGTATTGTTTTTCACTTTTTTCTCTCTCTCCAGGGGAACTAATAACCAAGCATACCATTTCTTTACACCATTTAGCTCTCACAGTAAGCACTGCATTTAAGTATATGCACACTATCATCAATTTTTAAAGAAAACCATGACTTTCAACATTGTTTTTTGGGTCCAGGTAGTTTCCAGACATCTTTTCCATAAATCTCCTCAGTTTATTTATTTACTTGCGTGTTTACTCACTAAGCACACAGACTTTTGTGTACTTCTTTATGCAAATTTTCTGAGGTTCCTTTACCAATACTTCTTTGAATAGAATTGAACGGTATCTTAATGATTAGTGCAAGCTGAATGTGATGGCATCTTAAAATTTTATAGGTAATACACTAGAGCCAGCCCTGGTGGTCTAGTGGTTAAGATTCGGGGCTCTCACCACCAAGGTCCAGGTTCCTTTCTAGTCAGGGAACCACATCACCCATCCATCGGTTGTCACACTGTGGTGGCTGCATGTTGCTGTGATGCTGAAAGCTATGCCACCAGTATTTCAAATACTAGCAGGGTCACTCATGGTGGACAGGTTTCAGCGGAGCTTCCAGACTAGACAGACTAGGAAGAAGGACCTGGCACCCACTTCCGAAAAAATTGGCCATGAAAACCCTGTGAATAGCAGCAGAGCACTGTCTGATATAGTGCCACAAGGTGAGAGGATGGCACAAAAAGACTGGGCAGGGTTCCGCTCTGCTGTACACAGGGGCACCAGGAGTCAGAATCGACTTGACAGCACTAACGACAAAATAGACTAGAGATATTAAATATTTATGTAGGCATGGTACAGGAACTCAACTCAAATCCAGTCAGCTCTATGGCTGCTATAAGCTTGTACTCCATAGACTTATCTGTACTTTTGAACTCTTTTTTTAAAAAAAAACTGTGGTAAAATACACACAAAATTTGCCATCTTAACCAGTTTTAAGTGTACAGGTCAGCAGTGTTAAGTATCTTCACATTGTTGTGCTTAACTTTTAAATGATATCTCTAGTATATACATTTTAATCAATAGTCAATCATGATATTCTGTTTAAAAAAACTATCAAAATGTATTGTTTCAGTCTTATTCTTTCAATTATTGATGATTTAATACAAATTCACAAAAATAGCTGCTAGAGGCATCTTTTAAAAATCTTTTACATGAACAATATGCCACAAAAGACTGAATGTTACATTTTAATACTTGAGGAAATCTTAAAAATCATAAAAAAATTTTTATGCTTGATTTCTCATCACTTATCAGTAAATAAAATGTTTTCAGAAATGAGTTTCTGGTGAATGAATCTTGCTGAGTTCAAAAATGAACATGTTCTCTGGGGCCGGCCCAGTGGCATAGTGGTTACGTTCTCGTGCTCTGCTTCGGCAGCCCGGGGTGCGCAGGGTCGGATCCCGTGCGAGGACCGACACACTGCTTGTCAAGTCATGCGGTCGCAGGCGTCCCACATAAAACAGAGGGAGATAGGCACAGATGTTAGCTCAGGGCTAATTTTCCTCAGCAAAAAGAGGAGGATTGGCAACAGATGTTAGCTTAAGGCCAGTCTTCCTCATGGAAAAAAAAAAAAAAAAGAATATGTTCTCACAAATCTTCAACGTAAATGAATACAAGTTGTCTTGAAGACTCACAGACTGGACCACTGAGGAGTTACAATTATAAATGTTTTTGAATATAAGCATAATTTGGTTAGGAAAGAATTTTATAAAACACAAAATCTCACCCATTTTAATAACAAAACCAAAGAATGTAGATTATAGCAGCTGTATTTTAGAACTGGAAGAATGACTTAGCTTAGCCAACCAAATGGGCAGAACCACTGCTCTAATCAGGAGGCTGTCGTGGGCCTTCTCCCCTTTCCTGAGGCGTGTGGGTGGAGTGACTCACCCACCAAGACACTGTTGCATTCTTGGGCTAAGATACCACATAGTCTGTTTTTCACATAGCGTGGATTTCTAAGAAACAGGCATCTTGCCCCCTAAATCTTGAAATGTTCAGAGAACATGACTTAGTTGAACTTTCTGCTGACATGAGGTGAAGCACAAAATCCTTTCAGGGCCTGCTCTGGAAGTCTCTCTTTCTTTAGATAAGTGTTTCGTATTGGATTCATCATATGCCTTTTGCTTGCTCCTATAAGAGGAGCATCCAGCCTCACAGAAGATCTGGCCAAACAACTGTTACCTATTAGGGAATAAAGGCCAAATTAAAAAAAAAAAAAAAACATCTTTTGAGCTGCCTTAACAGTTATGCTAGCAACAGATAATGCTAAATAAGTAAAGTAACCTGCCGGGGAGTCAGGTCAGCCACAGCACATGCAGTTCTTTTTTTTTTTTTTTTTTTTTAAAGTTTTTTTTTTTTTTTTTTTTTCCCCCCAAAGCCCCAGTGGATAGTTGTATGTCGTAGCTGCACATCCTTCTAGTTGCTGTATGCGGGACTCGGCCTCAGGATGAACGGAGAAGTGGTGCCTCGATGCGCA